AGAGGAGGGTGAAGAACCACCTGCTTTGGAGGATTACACGGAGGACTCCCCGGCATTCAGCTTGAACGCAATCTCCGGGGTGACAAAGGGGAATATGATGAAAGTGAGGGTCAAAATCGCAGCCACTGTTATCGTCGCACTCTTGGACTCGGGCAGTTCAGACAACTTCATCAACGCTGAGACAGCGCGTGATTTGGGACTCCGAATGACACCGCTAAAGGACCTCCGCGTGCGAGTGGCAAATGGGGATTGTTTGTCTGCTTTAGGTGTATGTGAGGCAGTCACTTTCACCAAGGGACACGACAGTTTTTCAGCAACATTATTTGTGCTTCCTTTGGCTGGATTTCAGATGGTTTTAGGGGTGAAATGGCTGAGAGAATTGGGCCCTATAACCTGGGATTTCAACTCATTGCAGATGACTTTCTACCACTGCAACACTGCAGTAACCTGGACAGCAGAAGAAGGATGCCTTTTCCCTGCTCTGCATGCTATTCCACCGCCAAGTTCAAATGCAGACGTCTTAGAGGGATTGCTTGCCCTCTTTGGTGACATTTTTTCTGAAGTTACGGCGCTGCCACCAGCACGGGAGTGCGATCATCGCATAATTTTGCAATCCGGACCAGACCCTGTGGTTGTAAGACCATACCGTTACCCACAGCTCCTCAAAGATGAGATAGAAAAACAGTGTGCGGATATGCTTCATCACGGCATCATTCGACCTAGCAAGTCTCCATTCTCATCACCATGTTTGTTAGTCCGAAAACATGATTTGTCGTGGCGGTTTTGCGTTGACTATAGGGAACTAAATGCCCGAACAGTTAAAGATAAGTTCCCTATACCTATCATTGATGAATTGCTTGATGAACTACATGGCTCCAAATTTTTCACAAAGTTGGATTTGCGATCCGGTTATCACCAAGTTAGAATGCACCCCGAAGATGTTGAAAAGACGGCTTTCCGGACTCATCATGGCCACTTCGAATTTTTGGTGATGCCCTTCGGCCTTTCTAACGCACCATCCACATTTCAATCTTTGATGAATGAGGTCTTCGGTCCCTACCTGCGGAAGTTTGTATTGGTATTCTTTGACGACATTTTAATATACAGTGCTTCTTGGGTGGAGCATCTCCAACACATGCGTCTGGTTTTCCTCTTGCTGCGCCAACACACACTCTTTTTAAAGAAGAGTAAATGCACATTTGGAGTAGATCATGTAAGCTACTTGGGTCATGTGATATCTAGCCAAGGTGTGTCAGTAGACGAAACGAAAGTGCAAGCCGTCTCCGATTGGCCTACGCCAGGGTCTACCACAGCTCTTAGAAGCTTCTTGGGCCTTGCTGGTTTTTACCGCCGGTTCATCAAGAATTATGGTATCATTGCAGGACCACTTACAAATCTCTTACGAAATCAAAACTTTAAGTGGTCCTCCGAGGCCGAGGCTGCTTTTATTTCTCTCAAACGGGCTTTGTGTTCAGCGCCTGTCCTCCAACTTCCAGATTTTTCCACTCAATTTGTGGTTGAATGTGACGCTTCAGGTAGTGGCATTGGTGCAGTGATTCACCAAAATGATCATCCAATAGCTTTTTACAGCCGGAAGCTAGCAGACAGACACTTGAAGCTTCCAGCCTATGAAAGGGAATTGATTGGGTTGTCGCAAGCTGTACGGAATTGGCGGCATTATCTCTGGGGCAGGAACTTTGTCATCCGAACAGATCATTACAGCTTGAAATATCTCCTTCAACAGCGGTTGACGACATCCCCGCAACAACATTGGATGAGCAAGCTGCTAGGATTTGATTTTGAGGTTCAATACAAGCCTGGAAAATTTAACACGGTGGCTGATGCTCTGTCACGACAGAACCAGCTAGAAAGTAGTAGCTGCTTGGCCCTCTCTATTCATCATTCAGACTTGTTGGACGACATCAGGACCCATACACGCCTTTTTCCAAGGTTAGCGGAGTTCGAACAAAAGATTGCTGATTCATCTCTTGGCTGGAACTTCCAGAATGGGCTTTTCTTTTACAAGGGAAAAATATTCATCCCTCCAGATACTGCTCTCACTTCACGCATAGTGGCTGCCACCCATAATGCAACACACGAGGGAGTTCAGAAAACAGTCCACCGCCTACGGCGTGAATTTTATTGGCCAAAAATGGTTTCAGATGTTCGAGATTTCATCAGCCAGTGCACAGTTTGCCAACGTCACAAATGGGAGAACCTTCACCCTGCCGGTGTTCTCCAACCCCTCTCCATTCCGGAACAGATTTGGGCAGACATATCCATGGATTTTATTGAAGGCCTACCGAATGTATATGGGAAATCGGTTATCCTGGTGGTCGTCGATCGGTTATCCAAGTATGCTCACTTCCTTGCCCTTCAACACCCATACACTGCTTCTTCAGTCGCACAAGCATTCTTTTCTCAGATATTCAAGCTTCACGGATTGCCGGAGTCTATTGTGAGTGATCGGGATCCAATCTTTACTTCTGGTTTCTGGAATGAATTATTTAAACTTAGCGGCTCTAAATTGGCTCGTTCGTCAGCCTACCACCCTCAAACTGATGGGCAGACAGAAGTTGTCAACCGCACCATTGAGCTCTATTTAAGATGCTTTGTTGGGGACCATCCACGTAAATGGGTGGAGGCACTTGCGTAGGCAGAATATTGCTATAATACCTCTTTCCATTCGGCTTTACGGACCACCCCCTTTAAGCTGGTTTATGGTAGGGATCCTCCTCGCCTCCTCTCATATGAGCCGGGCCTCTCAAAGCTAGCTGCAGTCGACGAGGCTTTGAAGTCCAGGGGTGAAATACTTCATGATGCTCGACATCACTTGAAAACGGCACAATCTCGTATGGAGCAAACCTACAACCAAAAACACCGGGATATATCCTATGAGCCTAGGGCGTGGGTGTGGGTTCGTCTTCAGCCGTACCGCCAAAACTCCTTGACCATGCGGCGCACTCACAAACTTTCACATCGGTATTTTGGGCCATTTCAGGTGCAGAAACGAATTGGGTCAGTTGCCTATCAATTAGAATTGCCAAGTGATTGCAGAGTGCACAATGTTTTCCATGTTTCACTCCTAAAGCAGTATAATGGGCCTCCACCGGTTACTACACCGTTGTTGCCTCCCGCTGTGAATGGGCGTTTTGAACTGCGTCCTGCCAACATTCTTGCCACTCGTATGAACAGAGGGAATACAGATCTATTAGTGCAATGGGAAGGCTTGCAGGAAGAAGATGCCACTTGGGAAAGTTTAGATGATTTTTGCCAACGTTTTCCATCCTTCAAGCTTGAGGACAAGCTTGATCTCCAGGACGGGGGTGATGATGCATTCGTGGGACAACAGTACTACCGCAAAAGGCTCAAATCTCACAGATCAGCCATGCCCTTGATTTAAGCAATCTTATTTATTCTCTTTCCTTTTTCAATATTATTCAGAATCTCTTTATAGTTGGTAATTATCTTTCCTTCCTTAGTTAAGTATGTTGGTAGTCCTTAAATATGACAAGAGTATGTAATTGATGGACAAGTTGGAATTTGAATAAAGATCTCTCAAGAAGGTTTCTCTTCTTCCAACTCTCTGTCCTTAATCTCAGACTTCTCTACTGCCACCATAGGTAGAGCTAAGTCTTCCTATTCCTCCTCTTCAGTATTCCATAGGCCCGTAACGCGAAGTATATCTCGTGATCGTATCAGACACCGACCAAAGAATGATTCAGTTGAATGCACCAGAGCTTCTGGGAGTTCATGACAAGGACTTGAGTTCAAAACTTGAACATCAAATGCTTGAGGATGATGATGATTTTGAAGAGGTATACACAGTGTGTTTGACTTTTAAGTAATATTATATTACTTGCAAATACTTTAATATTTTTGTTTTTTATTTAAGGGAATTTGTTGAGAGTGATGAAGGGGAAAGTCCTATTGGGATTGTGGCTGCTGGCAATGGTGATGCTGTGGGTGATAGTTCTGTGTTGAAGAGACCTTTCTAGATGAGTTCTTATAAACTCAAACATCAAAGAACATGTCCCTCAGTGTTAAGCTTGAAGGTAAATGATTGATTATAAATTGTGTGGCATGAAATGTTTATGGACAATTGTGGCTGTGTCATTTTTATTTATTTAGGATAGTGATTTAGTGTGTTGCAAATACAATTGCATTGCTTTTCTTTGTGTTTTGAGTTTTTGGCACAGCAAAAAAGTGCAACATTTTGGCCGACTTTGAAATTCTCATGAGGTGTGCTGTATTAAAAAGGGATTCAAACACATGCTATTACTAGCAGCTGGTTGCATTGGAACATAATTGGTATCATGGTGCAGTACTTATTTTGCATGGACTTCAAGTTTGGCAGTACATATAAAGCAGGCTTTGTTATGAGGTTAGTATAGGATTGTGATATACTGAAAGTTATTATTTTCAGAATCTAATATTCTCTTATTTGTCAAATAATATTTATTTGTTTGTTATTTATTTACTTATAATTATCTGTTTAAGCAAAAGATCCTTAGTGGAAGCAACAAAACAAGCACAATTACTTTGTTGTTTACCTAAAAAATTAAGATCATTATTTGCTGTAATAGTTTAATTACAATTATTGTATACGCAACACATGAAGGATTCAAACATGCAAAAAAAATAGAAAACAAAAATAAGCTAAACAGGAGTAATTAAATACAACCAATACAACAACACAAGTTCAAAATACTTCAAAATGTTATTAACTAAGTACGACATATACAGCCACTAACCAAATTGTTCACGCAGCTGCAATATTATATCATATTTGGAGAGCCAGGAACGGAGCGGTATGGGATGCGTGTCTACCGCGACCACGAAAAGTGTTAGCCTTGGCCGAAGCAACCGCACTTGCATGGCAAAGAGTCCACCACACCCACCCACAAACGGACCAAGGGACTGCCGCACAAAGCAGTGCTACTGCCACTGCCGTGACACGGCAGCAGCAGCACTACAACACGGCAAATGCCGTGACTGCTATGGGGATTGCCCAAGAGGGCGCACGGAACGAGCCTGCCGAGCCGAGACGGAGATGCTATGTCGATGCTGGATTCATGCCAGCTACAGGAAGGGCTACGGTTGGCGCGGTTTTGTTCGACGAGGAAGGGGGATATGTATCGGCATTCAGTGCACCCTTGTCAGATTGTCTGTCCCCGCTTATGGCTGAAGCAATAGCATGTAAGGAAGCCTTGTCTTGGTTATGGAATCGTGGAGAGCGCTCAGTACACATACTCACGGATTGTTTGACCCTGCAACAGTATTTGACAAATCAAGCTCTCACTGTTCGGACTTACGTTGGCTATGCCATTGATGCTTGTAGAGCATGCATTATTTCTTTTGATTATTGTTCAGTTAATTTTATTCCTAGATCAGAGAACTATTTAGCACATGCACATAGTCTAGCGGCTACTGCATTTAATTCTTCTACGATTATGTATTCGGACGATGTCCCTCCAGACTCTATTTCTGAGTACCTTTAATATATGTCTTATTGGCCACCTTTCAAAAAAAAGTACGACATATACAGGTATTTAACAATTAAGTACCAGATCGATAACAGATAAGTACGAGTAACACAATTACCAGATTCCAGATAAGTACCAGTAACAATTAACAGATTCCAGATAAGTACCTGTAACAATTAAGTACCAGATAAGTACGAGTAACAATTAAAAAAAAAAACAATTTTTGATGCAAATAGTTAATAAAAAAAATATTAGAATGGTATTTGTTTTACTGAAACTACGAAAACAACGCATGCAATAGCTAGATTTTACTACTAATCAGCATATTCAAACGAAATCTTAATCAGAGACGCAGATTTTTCAGGAAATATCAATCGAACTAGGATAAAAATAAGAAATAAATCTTCCACATGTTCTAGCATCTCTGATTCAGCGGTATACGTCATCTTCTCCTATCACCGGTAAATATTTCCGGGCAAACTCTTATCCTGCGAAGAGAACAGAGTTAGGGCATCTAATTATTTCCCAGCAAAGTCTTATGAACAGGATAGGCAACAATCGTAGATTTAGCGCATGCACTGAAGTTGAAGATCACAGAACTCCAAGCTCTGAATTAGCGAAGTACAATGAACAACCTGAACAACCCCCATGCTGTCGAGTAAAATTTGTGGGCCATACTACTCAAATTGCAGCCCGAGAGCAATAAATCTGTATAAATTGGGAATGCAATCAAAAGAAACTGAGAAAGAGAAATGGAGGTTAAATACATGTTGTCGCCCAGAATTAGGAAAGTCGTGTCTCCCCCGACGCTTTTCATCGAAACCAGAAGGAAGAAGCTTCTAGCATATCTGAGCACACCCACCCAATTCTATATTAATATAATTATATATTTATATATATATGTAATAACCTATATATGTTTACAGTGAAGCAAGATATGTTCGAATTATATGTATATATATATAAAGAAAATCTATTGGAAGAGATCATTAGTGTCCAGTTTTTATTTTTTATTTTTGAAAAAAGTATCCAATCTAATTGTTTGTATGGTGTTTTTTAAAGAAATTTGTCATTACAAGATTGTTTGAGCATGTTATTAATGCTAAAATAATGACGGGTGACAATACCGAGAGTTCGATGTTGATAATGTCTATGACTCAATCGGATACAAGAGCCTTTTAAATTTTCAAGGAGACAGTCCCATTAATATTGTCATATGCTATCACAATAAATAAGTCAAGACCAAATTAACAATTTGTTTATCCTAAAAATAAAAACAAATTAACAATTTACAATTTCATCATTTTTTCTGTGCCAATTTCTGTGCCATGATTGTGGAATATGTTATGCAATATACTTTTAAATCTGTTTAAGATGTAATATCTGTATTTTATTACAATTTATTACAATAACAACATGTAAAATTAAAATATAATTTATTGACCGTGCATCGCACGGGTACAATGCTAGTAATACATAATACACAAAAACTCTTAACATAAACTCTTAACATAATACACATAAACTTTTAACTATTAAAAAAAAATCACATGTTTCGAATGTACATAATTGTATAACAAAATGTACATAATTGTATAATAAAATACACATAAACTCCGTCGCGTCAACTCCCCACACAACTTAACAAAACGATGTCGTTTTGGGCAGGACGGGGTGGACAATGCATTGTTCGCCCTAGTGCACGATATAACGATTGTCGGGAATATTAACTCCAATACTAATGTAATTTGATATAATCAACTATTTTATGAACTAATGAAGTATGAAAAGTTGACAAATTTAGTACTCCGTACAATATTGTCATATGACACAAATTTTGGTACAACATTGTCACAAGTTGCATTTTCTGCCTTTATATGAATATAATAAAGTCTAAAGAGCAATAGACACTGGGGCTAGGGGAAGCATGAATGGAGACAGTATATTAATGTTTTGTAATTGGCACAAGCAATACCTATACAAGTTTAATTTGACAAGAAATGGAAATAAAATGCTAAAAACAATCAACAATTAAAAAATAGGGATTTTGGGAATTGAAACCATTCTTCAAAAAATAGCAGCACCAAAATCAGTACAAGGAATTGTAGGTAAAGCATGTGGCAGTAATGGATGCTATGCAAATGAGAAGTGAAGGAAGAAGTGTGGCATTCAACAGTCTGCTCTGCCCCAAATAACCAGCCAGGGTTATAGTACCATCTGCGATAACTCGAGCAATTGTGCCTGCTTCTGTTGACAAGAGGCCGCCATTGTAGGTTCCACGAGAAAGCCTCGACGACATGACTCGGGAGAGGAGCGATAGATTGACACCTATGAGGAAAAAGCACCATAATATACAGTTTATATCATTGATAATAATTATAAAAATCTGTAAAACTCTACTTTGAAGCGTGCAATAGCACCAGACAACACGCGTCTTTTGTCTGGTCACGTTGAAGAAAGAAACATTTCAATGATGACCTAATTCAATCCTAGTGGCTATATTCTGCTAGTCACATATGATTTCTTTTAGCAATGTTAACTCCATTTCAAGCAGAGCTTCAATCACCATCTAACACATTTTTAAAGGTTGAATGAAAAAATAGATTGGGTGTTCATTTTGAACAATCAGAGAAGAAAAGATGGATATTTTACCTTCCAAAACTTCTGCAGATACAAACATTATCAGCCCAGAGATGACATACTGTGGCACAGAATACGGGATGATTACTTGAAAGCTTAGGAGTATGCCCAGCAAAACCATAATTTCGGATGCCAATAAAATTTGCCTGCAGCCATGAGAAAATAATAGGCATGCTTTAGGACTGAAAAATTATTACCAGCAAACTGTTATAGAATGATCAAAAGACTTCTATACTATATCGTGAACCACGTTCCATGGGATGAATATCAACAACATGCATGCTTCATTTGTCAAATAGAATATTACCTATCCTGGAACATGTTACTTATGTAGCTTCCAACGACAACGTTTACTGGAAGAACTGTTAAGCCAAGACATGCTAGAAAAATTGCCACAGTGCCGGTTGACCACTGGAAGTAGTATTCTGTAATAACGCTAGATTCTGAGAGTAAAATTTCCATAGCATATTTCAGCATAAAGTAAATCAACAGTTGAACCTGTAATCAAAGCAATACTCTGTCATCATTCGTGAGAATACTCTCTTTTTAGTAGCATGACAAATATTAGAAACCATAATTTATATTGTAGAGAATAGAGCTTCATCTGTTTTTTCATCATTTGGGGAGAGAAGACATTCATGGATATAAAGTGTCTCAGGGAACACATTCCCCTCAAATCCCCCGGCACTTGACACCATTGCATTAGCTAAATTGTTATAGGACAAACAAGTTGCTTTATGCCACTTGTGATGATGAGAAGAGTAAAAAGATGTACCTTCACAGAGGGAGTGAGTAATCTGTATGCTGCAGCAATAGAGTTGACTGGTAATCGAGACTCCTCTGGAGCTTCTTCACTCTCATCATATTCTTGGTTGCCATCACCATCATCTTGTTCGTTGGATGTTATGAGCAGTGGTTGTGCGAGACCCTTCTCAAGCACATTATTATCTGATAACCAAAATTTAATGTTCAATTCAGAATTTGATCAAAGTCCAAAATGCTCATTAAGTATCTCACCGAAGTTGAATTGGGAAGTTTAAAGACCCAATACAGAGAAATGCCAGAAAGTACTTCACAGACAAATATGCAAGGTTATTTGGTTTAAAATTCAGTAATACAGTAGCCAACTTGATTGAGAAGGCTTTCCTCACCCTGGTTGATATGTCCAATTATTGTGCCCATCATGACATAGATAGACAAAAAACAATGGAGAGACACCTTTGAATTTAAGAATACAGGCTACAGGAAGGAGCATAAGAAAAAGTAAATGGGAACTGAACATACCAACATTAGATTCCTGTGGAACGGGGTTTTCTTCAGTCTCAAGCACTGGTTCTCTAAATGAGATCCATAACCATACCAGATATATTAACCATCCCAAAGCCATGACCCAACCAGGTAAAGTTTCTTTGTTGAATGTCAGGTTGAGAATTTTAAAATTACTTTGAAGTAACCCAGCAAGTGCTGGACCACATGCCATTCCAAGAGCACTAGCACTGACAAAACCTGCAGAAGCCTGCATGCGGATTTTAAGTGGCACACAGTCACTGATATACCTTCGGTTCACAGCTCTGGCTGAACCCAAACTGCAATTAAGAGTGACAAGGGACAGCAAAAAACTTGTCAAATTATATTTAGTTGCAATGGAATTACCATCATACATACAATAGACTAAACTTGACTGTTGCAGATGACAACAAAACTCCTGGCATAATTATCTACACAGAACAGAATGAGGTAACAACAAATGCTGGTTGATTGTTTTTGTTGCTAATTCCAACCAGAATCCACATTATTAACATTATTAAAAACTCTTAGTGATTGTCCAGTATTACCAATATCATTTCAAATTTTCACCCACTAGCGAACCATTATTTCTCTAGTTGTACTCATATAAATGTATGAATAGTGCATCGATCATTGTTGCCTAAGCAGTCACCAGTTCTTCATTAAGAAGAAGTTATATTTAAAGGAAAGACAAATAATTGCAAGAGATTCAGCTTTCTGAATCTCTTAGTAGAAGAACAATGAATTAGACAATAGTAAATAATGGAAGGTAAAGAAATGAAAGAGGCAAGATAATATATCAAAGTGAATAAAGTTAAAATGGTTTTAGCATGCCTGAATATACAATAGATTCTATATAAAAATGAGGATATCAATGACGCAAATAAGCATGTCGTTGTTATGTATAAGAAAAAGAGAAACACACATTCATGTTTTTACACAAGAAGGGCAGAGAATAGGAGAAAGAGTGAGAGATTACCCGCAAAATAATCTGCCTATAAGAAGAACTGGTAATGATTGCAGGTCATAGGCCAGTGCATACAAGACATTGCCTATACAAAGAACTATACTGCTAAATACCAAAGGTT